ACACACACACACATATACACACACACACAAACAAAGAAAAACAAGTAGATAGAACAGAAAAAATAGAAAGCTAGTGTTTGCTTTTAAATAAAGAATAAAAAATAAAAAAAGATAAATATAGATAAAGTAGAATTAAAATAGAATAGAAAGTGTTAGAGTTAGAGGGTCAAATAAAGTTGGAACAGATGTGTTTTTAGTCGTTTCCTGAAGATGGTTAAGGTCATTCCACCAGGAAAGAACAGTTAATGAAAAAGTCTGTGAAAGTGATTTTTGTGCCTCTTTTAGATGGCACAATAATATGCCGTTCACTTGCAGAACGCAAGCTTCTAGAGGGCACATAACTCTGAAGTAGTTATGAACTATGCCTATATATGTTAACTGTTCAAACATTTGGGGTCTGTAAGTTTTTATTTTATTTATTTAAAATTTCTTTCACCAGTGGTACACTTAATTGTTCAAAAACACAGCAAAAAATAAATAAATTCTACTTTATTGTATCTTACAATGTTATTTATTGCTGTGAAGTTGAATTATCGCAGCCATTATTTCAGTCTTCAGTGTCACATGATCTTTCATAAATTATTCTAATATTCTGATTTGCAGCTCAATAAACATTTCTTATTATTAGCAATGTTGAAAACAATCATGCTCCTTCATATTTTTTGTAGAAACTGTGACACATCATTTTTTTTATTTCTTTGAAATTGATTTAATAGGATGTTCAGAAGAATGGCATTTACTTGAAATAGAAATCTTTCATAACTTTATAAATGTTTTAATATATCTGTTGGTTGATTTATTGTATCCTTGCTGATTTAAAGTATTAATTTCTTAAAAAAATTACTGACCCCAAACTTTTAATTTAATTTAATTTAATTGTTTAAGTATTTTTAATGAACTGTTGGAAGACAGCCTGCAGTTCCAGTTATCCACCTATGAAGCCTTCCCTATACTGATTATAACTACAACATTATAATTAATGAATAAGCTCTTTTCTTTATTAATGTCTCATTTTAATGTACCAGAATCACATGCAGATATCTGTTTAGTCCACTCCTAAATTATTCTGTAATGTGAGCCTTGTTTGTGAATATATTGTCACAACATAACTTTAAACTTAAAAAAGCCTAGAATATCAACGATCCCCTGTTCAGTTCGAGTCAGTTCAGTGTTAATAAATCTCTACTCACCAGCCTGCTCTGTGCTGACGGTGATATTGGCAAGCTGTCTCTCAGATCTGCCCAAGCCTGACACTCCATTCAGAGCCTCAATTTGGAATGTGTAGTTGGCATGCGCCACAAAGTCCTGGACCACCACAGAGGTGCTTGTGAGGCCCGTGGGTTTGGGTACGAAGCGCATGTTGCTGTTGCATGCCTCACAGGCCTGGCCATCAGCTCCACATCGGAAACAGAAGACATTATAGGTTACATCCTTCCGACCACCTGTGTCGCTGGGCGGAGTCCACTCCAGAAAGAGGGCGGTCTCATTGATGTTAAAAACCATGTTTCGAGGAGAGGAGGGCGGTCCTAAAAGAAAAGACACACCGAGTCCATAGCTACCATAATTATCATGCTGACAGAAATCCATCTGTGAGAGGGGAAAAAAACACCTATTTGAGCAAAATATTATGCAGATTAAGAATTTTTTATCTTTTTTCCGCTCTCTCAAAAATGGTGCATATGCATTAACTAATGAATCCTTTTAATGCCTTAAAAACCACTCGAGAGCATTTGCCATCTCCCTTTCACTCCCTCCCTCTGGTTTCGCTGATATACAAATGTCTCTGCTCTAGTACCCTGGTTCTGCTTCCTATAGAATGCCGGCTCAGAGCCAGATACAGGGAAGTCTGCGTTTATCTGCTGTTTCCCAGACCCAGCTAATGATGATAATGAGAATATGTCCTAGACATGATTATCATAGTTAATGATAATTGCACCCACTCGTGAATAACAAGGAAGTAATTATTCCTCCTCTCCTGTTTTTAATGCAGATTGCTGCTGGTGTTGAAAAGATTGAGTTTGGTGAATAATTTGGGTAAGCGCGATGGGGGGCAGAAGAAGGGAAAGGGAAGAGGGTGATGAAGCAGAAGACTGAAATAACTGGAATTCTGATCGATAGAATCAGAAACAATAAGAGTAGAAATGAGAATGAGAATGATGAGCGAGAACATGTATGCTCATTATCACTATTTTTGGCACATTTAGTCTTATTGTTCATCTTTAGTTTATCTTTCTTCATTACTTTCTCAATTATTAATATTTATTTAATTAGTTCCTTTTAATTTAAATCTCTTGATTACTTTTTTGTTCTGCACTGGTACTGAATTTTATCTTATTTTATATATTTATTTCTCCCTTGGGAAACTGAAACTGGTGCACTGAAAACATTCACATCTCCTTTATCACACCGCTGACTCATTCACTCTCACTTCATACAAATGCAGCTGGAATCTTCTTGTGTCACAGTTATAGATGCTATTGAAAATGACCCGGGAGAACTTCAATATTAAAATCATTGCAATATAGTTTTAGTGTTCGTCTTGTTGCGAGGATGATCAGATCACACTCTGATATTACAGGATAGACTCTAGCTTGTGTGAAATTGCTTAAAGGAATAGTTCATGAGTTTGTTTATTCATATATTTTTGGAGAAATTCAGAATTGCATCACTTGCTCAGATCCTCTGCAGTGAATGGGTGCCGTCAGAATGAGTCCAAAAGGTTGATACAAACTTCACAATGATCCACAAGTTATCCACACCAATGCAGTCTATCAATTAAAATCTTGTGAAGCCACAAGCTGTGTGTTTGTAAGAAACAAATCCATCATTAAGATGTATTTAACTTCAAACCATTGTATCTGACTAAATATAATGCTAATAATGCTTCCTTCAGGGAAAAAAGAAAAAAAATCCTCTGATGTCTTCTCACATCAAAATATTTTGTTTAGAACTGTTTTGGAATATTTTTCGCTTGTTTTTATCAGCTGTTTGGGCTCATTCTGATGGCACCCATTCACTGAAGAGGATCCACTGATGATGTAATGCTAAATTTCTCCAAATCTGTTCTGATGAACAAACTCATCTATATCTTTGGTGAACTATTCCTTTAAATATTATTTGGTGATTTAAACTATTTTTTAAAGTTGCCACCACTTTGGAAAAACAAATGTGCTGTTTTGTCATTGCATGTAAAGCACACTATAATTGAATCTGAAAAAAATATATATATAAATAAAATGGGAAATGAATGAAAACAGAGCAGTAGGCTGACTAACGTGTGCAGGCCATGGTGGGAGGGTCCTTGCTGGCTCTGTAGTAGTTTTTTTCGCAGTGACATTGTGCCGAACCCTCTGTGTGGCTGGAACTGTGTGGGGGACACTTTGAACATTTGATGTTTCCTGCAAAGGCTTTGTAGAACCCAGGTCTGCAGGCTGTGGAGAAAACATAAGAGAAAAGTTATGGCTGTGCGTTCCAGGATTTATTGATAATACAAATTTAATTGAATATTAAATTGAATGATACAGTATGCAAATTATTTAATCAAACGAACAGTTAATCAAATATATATATATATCCCTATTTGCTGTGGGAAATCACAAATGAAGAAGGCTTTAGAATAATAAAGGCTTTAAAATATGAATATATTATATTATTTATTATTTATAGGATAACACATATTCATTTTACCAAGTTTGGAGTCAGTAAGACTGTTTATTTTTTAATTATTATTATTTTATTTTATTTTTTATAAAAAAAAAGTTTATACAGTAATGATGCATTAAATTGATTAAAAGTGACAGTAAAGACATTTATAATGTTATATAAGATTTCTGTTTCAAATACTGTTTATGCTGATATATATTCTAAATGTTCTATTCTACAAATAGGCTAATCTTGAAAAAAAAATCATGGTTTCTACATAAATATCAAGCAGAATAGCTGTTTTCAACATTGTTAATAAAAAACATTTCTTGAGCAGCAAATCAGCATATTAAAATGACTTCTAAAGGATCATCTTACACTGAAGATTGGATGAATGGCTGCTGCAAAATCAGCTTTGCATCACAGAAAAAATATATATTTTAAAAAATGTAATAGCATTTTCACAATATTACTGATTTAATGTATTATTGCAAATAAATGCAGCCTTTGTAAGAATAATTGACTTATTTCAAAAACATGAATAATCCACTTTGCAATCATGTTCACACAAGACTCATTCTAGCATTCCCTATTTGACAAATTAAATATTTTATGTTATTTAAATATTATATTGTTGGTCTAAACTCACATGCAGACAAACATCCCTAAATGACCGGTTAAAATATGGACACGTATAAGACAGATAAAATGTGAGGTAATGTTTTCAATCTTTAACTACCCCATCAGTCTCCATGGAACTGGTAGCTTAAGAGATACATTAAAAGCTTCAGCTTCTCCCTCTCTCAGTCTCTCTCTTTCTCTCCAGTGTGCAGCCTCACTCATTTGAACTTTTCTATGCTCCAAACCATAGCAGCTCTTAAACACTCCCCGTCTTGGACTTAGACTCCACACTGAAAGACTCGCCAAGGCCCAGGAGAGCAGCCAGACGAGACTGAGTTAAGTGGTACACACACAAGCACACATACTTACACACATCATAGATGTAAGATAGCAGATCTCTTTCTGTAGTGTCTCTACCTCTCTCTCTCTCACACAAATACACACACTAGTTTTACTCTTATTTAAATTTGCTCCTCAGAGGTTGGTAAATCTCTACAGCCACAACATTACAGGCATTGATCTGTTTCTCTCTGACTCCAGACACCTTCTCCAGTAACAGGGCCATTCCCGGAGAGCTTCCCCAGCAGCCTTTCGTCCTTATTGTGATGCAGGGAAACAAGTTGTGTGCGCAGGACCTCTGTTAGCATCTTTTAAAATCGGTACAGGCGTTTGGCAGCTTTCCTAGCAAGGAAAACAACTCCAATGCATAAATCATTAATGAGGGTTCTTACTTTTATTTAGATCTGTTGTAAACAAAGTCAACTTCTATTTCACGGAAATGGAGAGCATATATTATGGAAGTGCAAATACGACAAGCAGTCAAACAAATAAGCCACCAAACAGATCTGAGAAAAATTATCTTTCCTGATTTGCACATTAAAGTCAATGTGAAATGCGGATCGCAACTCATTTTATTTTCACAATAAGACATATTTTGAAGTGAAACAGGATATTGCATAGAAGAAAATGTAGAGTGGGTCTTTTGTCTTTTCGGAATTTATTGGAAAATTGTGCATTAAATTCCAGATGAGACAAGGTAGTTAAAAATGAAAAGTGGTTCAAGATGTCAACTGAAAAGGAACGACATTTTAAATAAAAAGCTATATTTTAAATAATTTTTTATGAAAAAAAAAAAAAAAAAACATTCTAACATTTTTTTTTTAACCACTGAAGTTGTGAACTATAAGATAATGTCAGACAGTAGACAGTCCCCCCCCCCCCCCCCCCCCC